GGAGTTCATTTCAGTTTCCAATGAATAATGCATATATTCAGAAAAAGTCTCCACTGCTCTTTTGATGAATCAATGAGATATTAGTAAGATTATAGCAGCTATTTTTGGATAGTTACTCTTACTTTACTTGTAACACTTAGTTTAAGAAACATTCAAATGACCTAAAACATAATAAGCTTAGTGACAGATGATTCTGTTGTGCTCTAAAATGACATGTTTGGAAATCCTTAGTCATTTGGGAAAATGTGGGTCCTGAATCTCTATGGCAGGAGCAGGCAATTATTTCAGGTGGAGCGCCATACCAAGTTTTGGAAAGCTGTCAAGGGCCGCATGGATAGCCCTGCCCCTTGACAGGTGCCCCACTCCCTGGTTGCCATCTTGAAACCAGAAGTCCCCCCCGCTTAACCTCTAACCTTTGCCATCGGAAGTCCCTCCCCTTGCCCTTGGAAGTACTCCTTTGGGGAAGAGGGTTTGCCATCTTAGGGAGAAAAAAAACAAATTATATACTAAAAATCCCATAATATATTTTAATTTTTAAAATATATTTTTGTCCTGATTTGTGTGCATTTGTGCTGTATATGTAGAAGTGATTGCATAATAGCTCAAAATGCAGTCTTACTCGTATACTGTGTGGGGTGTGCATGGGTGTCAGGGGGGGTATGGGTGGGTGTGGGGTTTATGGAGAGCTGTGGGTGGGTATGGAGTTTTGTAGGGATGTGTGTGGGTATGGAGTTTTGTGAGTATGGGACCCATGGGGTGCAGAGTGGCCGGCAGGCGGGCAGGAAAGTGGGGAAAGAGGTGGCAGAGGAAGGGGGGACTGGAAGTGAGTGGGCATTTTGGGGGCATGGGGCCTCCACTGATGTCGAAGGGCCAGTGCCAGTGGGACCCAGAGCAGGGTGGTAGGAGCATGGGGTCCAGGCTGGCAGGGGTCTATGGCAGGGGTTCCCAACCTTTTTATACTGTGGACCTGCAAACTATATAAATTTACAGATTTAAATTTACTTGGCATGTTTAAATTTAATTTTTACAGGGTGGTGGAGGGGGTGGGGTTACGAGGATCAGATCAGGTTGGAGCACCAGGGGACCTGGAAGGGGAGGGGGCTGTGCAGGCAGCGGCCCAGGTGAACCCAGCTGGGGCTGCCCAGAAAGAAGGGGCTCTGCTGCCTTTCCTAGGAACAAGCAGCAGAGCCACCTCCCTGTCCTCCACCCCAGCCATTTCCCCATCCACATCCCCCCTGCTCCCAGCCATGGGTGTGGCTAGAGGGACCTGCCTAGCCTGGCGCGGGCCCAGGTGCCTGGTACACCTAACCAGGTGCAGCCATGGCGGCAGGAGCAGAATGGGTCACAGAGCCAGCTGCCTCCCCCCTGGGGCTACCAAGCCACCCAAACGTGACTGCTGGCTGCACAAGCTATGGCTCGGTGGTTGGGAACCCCTGGTCTATGGAACCGGGCTGGGCTGCGCCAGCAAGGAGAGAGGGGAACTGGCCCAGCTCCATACAGCTGCTGCCAACCAGAACCCCACACTCCTGCTGCCCTGCTCTGGGTCCTGCCGGTGCTGGACCTGGGACACCAGCACAGACCCCACACTCCCATCTGGCTGCTGTGTGCCTGCTCACTCCCAGCCCCACCTGCCCCAGCCCCGCGGTACCTGCGGGGATGACCGCGAACAGCCCCAATCACTCCTCCCCTCCCCCCCAAACACGGCTCCCTGCTGCAACCGGCTGG